GTATTATTTTTTGTGTGTGGGGGGGAATTTTATTATATTTGTGCAGGGGGGGTAACGTTGTGGAGCAGTGTATTATTGTGCTTTAAGCTGGCCAATCACCTTACAACCATCGCAAGACTTTTGTCTTTTGCGATGGTTGTAAGGTCATTAAAATCTCGTACTATCTGCCCATCTTGGACAGGCAGATCATACTTGCGATCATCGCAAGCCCTCCCCGCATATGATTGCAGTGCTGAGCGGGCAGAGTGCGCTTGCGCACACCGGCCCGTGCGGCATTCGTCTTCCGACCACGCTACCAACCCGCCAAAAATCGTACGATTTTCGGCAGGTTTTCCAGCGTGCTTGGAAGACGAAAGTCGTACGACCTTACAGTAGAAGCGGTCGCACGCTGCCCATACTCCTGCCGATTATCGTACGATCGCGGGATCACCCATAACTGTCGTCCGATAATCGGCAGGTGTATGGGCACCTTTAGTGTATGTGTATATTAGGCCCCATTCACACCTACAGTATATTTTAGGTGTGATTTAGAGATTCCTGTGTCAGGAACTTGCGTTTTCCTACAGCAGGAATCCCTAATCTGCCTTTTACAAGCGGCAACTATCCTAAGATAAGAATTATCATAAGATTATTTAAGAGGGTGTGTTTAGGGGCGGAGTTAAGGCCGGGGCAGGGTTAAGGCCGTGACACACTGCACGCGAAGCGGTGGCGCGCTGCCTTTGAGAGCAGTGTGTCATGTCATTTTCTCCTGGGCACCTCAGCTGGCGAGAGCTCGCGGAGGTGAGCATGCCAAGATGAACAATTTCAACTTCAGCCAATCGGCTTGCGCGTATAAACCCGCGCGATGAGATGCGACGTCTGGCCGGTTGTTAAGCACGAGTCAATTGGCTGAAGGTGCAGTCAATCATCTGACTGCACTCAGCTCACACACTGCACGCAAAGCTCAGTGCCGGATAGCTTTGCTTCGCTCTGCACGGCTACGCGTGCAGTGTGTACAGGCCTTAAGGGTTAGGTGGGGCAAATGGTGGCTAGTGACTCTTAAGGCCTGGCTAGTAGCTCAGGACTTGAAATTTTGAGCCCTGATCTAAGCATATGGTCTCAAGGATTGGATTTTAGATTTTCCTCTGAAGGCACACTCTACTAGATCTTTGAGTGTTTCTAGGGCTTTTCAATATATAGTTACAGGTTGAAAAAGGACACAAGTCAATCAAGTTCAACCTATAGCGATATGAAAAAATAAGAAAAGCCTAAACAGAACGCTATGCCCACAATTACCCACTGTTGATCCAGAGGTAGGCAAAAAAAACCCCTATAAAGCATGGTTCAATTTGCTCCAGCAGGGGAAAAAAATTCCTTCCTGATCCTATAAGGCGATCAGATATTCCCTGGATCAACTGCCTGTGGTGCTTAATATACCTATAAAAACTCAATATCCAGTAATATTCTGTGGATTTAGGGATACATGCAGATTTTTAAAAAACTGTTAACTGAGCTAGCTAGAACTAGCTCCTGGAGGAGTCTATTCCACATTTTCAGAGCTCTAACTGTGAGGAATCCTTTCCGTATGCAAAGGTTAAACCTCTTTTCCTCCAGATGCAAAGGGTGCCCCCTTGTCCTTTGCAGTGACCTTAAAGGACATCTATGAGGTGAGAGATTTCCACTCTTCCTCATAGATAGAGCCAACCTGTGACAAAGAAGATGTCACAGGTCGGCTCTTATCGATCGGGAAGTGATCAGAAATATGCACCGATCTGCTCTCTTCTCGATCGTCGCCCTGCAGTGAGTGGTGACTGTCAGTCACCGCTCCCTGCAGGGATTTCCCCCCTCTCCGATTCTCCAGCACTGAGTGAAGGAACGAACGAGGAAAGGGGCTGGCACAGATGGCTCTGCCTCTAGATAGGCAGAGCCAGCTGTCACTCATGCAGCCGGGTGGATCTCGACAGTAATGTCAGGATCTGTCCCGGCTGCGGTGCTCACAGTATATCGCGGGAAATAGCTCACGATATACTGAGCTTTGGGTCACGGGAGAATGCTAGTATATGTCCTCCCGTGACCCTAAAGATAACTATGGGGAAAACGCTTACCCCATAGTTCTCTTTAAAAAACTTGAAGACCAGGTGTTTACACCCCCTTCCTTGCCAAGTCATTTTTCAGTATTTAGTGCTGCAGTACTTTGACATTTATTCCCTCATGCAACGCTGTACTGAAATTATTTTTATACCATTTTTTGGGGGACAGGTAGAGCTTTCTTTTTGTGGTATTTATTCACCACTGGGATTTTTCTTTTTTACTATACCCCTTTTAATACAAAGGATTTTGCTTGCGTTAGAAACTGCTGCTTGATATTGCAAGCTATTATTTGAGTGTATGATCTACCGGAACAACCAGATCACCCAGATCTTAATCCATCATTGACTCCCCCAAACATACTCCCCCTAGAGTGTATGAAGCCCGCATGTCTTTAGTCCTCAAGTGCATAACTTTACATTTATCAACATTAAAACTCATTTGCCAAATAGATGCCCAATCACACAGTGCATGTAGGCCTGCTTGTAAGTTGGAAACATCCTGTAAGGACTGTATTCCACTGCATAGCTTGGTTGCATCTGCAAACACAGAAATAGTACTTTTAATCACCAACTCTATGTATTTTATAAATAGATTAAACAGTAAGGGAGCCAACACTGAACCTTGGGGGACACCACTAACAACCTCGGACCATTCAGAGTATTAATCATTGATCATCACTCTCTGAATACAGTCCTTATGCCAGTTTTCTATCCAATTACAGATTTAATACTCTATACCTACTGACCTTAACTTATACAAGGGTCCCACCCTCGTGTGTTTTTGTTTGCTTTGAGGCATGCTGGTAGTAGGGGTTATCCTGGGCTGGCTTACAGTTTATTAATAAACCAGTGTCCAATCCTTCTGTAGGTGGCAGTAAACATGAAGGTGAATGACTTCCTGTGTTTCTCAATGAACTCCAGAATTTGTTTTTTTTACCACAGTATTCACATGGGACTTTGATTCTTTTCCATTTCTTACTGAAATGGTTTAGAAGCTGTAAAGAGGTTGGAGTAGAGACTCTGAATTATTTCCACAATAGTATCTAGGGTGATAATTCCTTAATTCAGAAGACTTGCAAGGGCTGTATGGAAATCTGCTAATCTGTGTGGTAGAGACAAATTGATGATGGAAATGTTTCCATTTCTGATGCCAAACTTTTGATGATGTTGCAGCGTTTGACTCTTAACAGGTTTGTGCTGAAAAAAATTTAAAATTTTTGTCTGGATAAAGGGATTTATAACAGAGTGCAAAACTCAGCATTGATAATATGCTGGAACACCAAATGAATGAAGCTAATTTTGATCAAGATTTTTTATGTATTTCCGTTCAGGTGGAAGAGATTGAAAATGCAGTTTTGAATGTATATGGAGTGGTGGCAAAAATTCAGTGTCTTCCTCCACAGCAGGTAATATTAAACTTCACGTATATCCTCTCTTAAACAGCAAGTGGCCTGTAATAAAATTTGTTCCAATTTTCAAGTTGCAGTCGCTTGACGAAATTGTTAAATATTTTCATTATCCGAGATTGTAAGCAATTGCAACAAAACTTAGAAATGATAGCACTTATATTTGTATATTCTGTTGCACATCTCCAAGTATAGGTCTGTTGCTCCATTAGTTGAGAACATTTACTTCTAATGTTTTTTTCAGTTCAATTCAGAGTAGCATCAGCAGTGTAGTGTATGGTTTATATATCACACAAAATAACAGACTGTGTTACATCTTTTTGAAAAAATTAGAATTTTGTACTTACCATAAAATCCATTCCTTGAAGTTTAATGGGTGCATCTACCCCTAGTGACATCCTTAACCACTTGGAAGTCCGCTGTGTTAAAACCCCTTTCCCATCCAGGCCATTTTTCAGTATTCAGCGCTGCAGTACTTTGACTGACATTTATTCCGTCATGCAACACTGTACTGAAATTCATTTTATACAATTTTTTGAGGACAGATAGAGCTTTCTTTTGGTGGTATTTATTCACCACTGAGGTGTTTATTCTTTACTATATTAAGGAAACATTACAGAAAATTTTGGAAAAAAAATGTTTTATTTTTACATTATGTTTATAATACAATTATTATTACCCAATCTTTTGGTAAAATATAAAAGACGGGGTCACGTCGGGTAAAAAGACACCAAACATGTCAAGCCTTAAAATTGTCCATAGGCGACGCTTTAAAAGCTTTTACCGCTTATCAGTTTAGTGTTATCAGTGATTGATGGCCCTAAAATGATTGCTCTCACTGCGACGTTCGCATCGATATGTAACGTGTGTAGCGCAATTGTCGTTTTCGCGTGCTAGTGCACCAGACGCGTATTTACGTTTTATATGTGCGTAAACGTGGGGGTGGGGGACTTAAACATTTTGGATTTTATTCTTTTTACTTTTTTTTATTCATATATTAATTTTTTTTGCACTTCTTGTTATTGCTATTACATAGGGGGATTACAATCCCCCTATATAAAAGCACAGGTACACTGACAGGTCCTCTTTATGGAGACATTAGGGGTCTCTAGGACCCCTAATGTCACCTGTAGACCCCAAAAGAAGCTGATGAAGCAGAGATCTGCTTCATCAGCTTCTTTTCTCTGTCTATAGCAGCTAGATGACTGACAGGTGAATGCGGAAGTGATGTAATACACATCACTTCCGCATTCACAGCCCGGAGGGAGATCAGCAAGGAGCCGATCTCCCTCCCTCTTCTTCCTGACGCCCTCCCGAGCCGGTCCCGGGCCGCTGATGGGCTAGCGGATCCCGGGATTGAAGGTGAGGGGTTAGGAGGGGGGCGGCGGCAGCAGATGAGGGGGGGAGGGGGTTCACACACCAGCACATATACCCGATCGGCTGGCTATAGAGCTGCCGATCGGGTATATGTTAAACAGCCGGCTCTATGCACGCAGAAAAAAAAAAGCCGTCTGGAGACGGCAACCCGCTAATGCAACAGTGCCGTCCGTCCGGTTTTTTTCAACGGGCGGACGGGAACTGGTTAAAGAAAGTGTCCAAGGCAGCTCTGAAGAGACCTCGTCCCTCAAACATTATGCGCAATAACAGCTTCTTGCATGTCTACTCTGCATCCCAACATTTGAGCCAATGGGGTTGATTTACTAACCTTATAAACACACCACGGACATGTATACACCTCTGTAGTGTGTACACACCCAGCAGGTGTGTTGTGCAAAGCCAAGCATGAATTGCAAAGTGATGTTGTGTAAATTAGCTCTATGTTGTGTTGCTTGCGTTGATGAATGCAGGAATGTAAATGCATGAGCTAACCATTTTTGTCTACACTGTGAAGCAGCATTATATATGCATCATGTGCATGATTTTTCCATATATGGCATTAGTGGAAATATGCTTTTAGAGACTTTTGGTTGATACGTTTTGCTGTGTGAAAATCACACGCACCTGGTGTGTGCGTGTGTTTAGGTTAGTAAATCACCCCCAATGATTCATACACGTGATCACTGGCAGGAGATTCGGACGGGGATATAAGATGGAAAACATCCACTAACCCATCAGCACCATAGCTTAGCGCTGCTGGCCTGTTTGGGAGGTGTGATCAGCTTATCATTAGTTTTCTCAAGCAGGGAGCAACTTTTCAGGCTGTCTTATTCAGGTCTGGGAGCGGGAGCACTGCAGGCAGCATTAAAGCTGTCAGTGGACCCGTTATAGCGAAACAGCTCTCCATATGTCTGGCAGGACAAGGGAGCTTAAGGTACATGGCTAAGGCTTGAATACTCGCAAGGTTCAGATGGCAAGAGGTGACCAGCTCACTGTAGGTGGGCAGCAAAGATCAAACATAGAGAATACCTGTGTCCACATTTGATGAGGAGCAATGGTGCAAATGTAATGACTGGAAGGAGAGTGTGGAGCTTACCATAAATCACTCCTAAGGCATGTCAGCACTAAGTCCCTCAGTGTTGGCCCTTTCCATGGTAACCCAGAGGAAAACATATATTATTGTGGCCAACAGTTTTATGGACGTAGTAGCTCAAGGTGCACAGCCTACATGGTTACTCACAAAGTGTGTCCACAGAGAATGGGCCACACCAGAAGCTGTGCCATGGCTCAGGTCCAGGAAAGTGCTTAACAGCTAATTTAACAGATTACACTTCGGTAAAGTGCCACAATGTGGATCCCAGTGACTGAAGGTCACATTCCATTGTGAGATTTCTGCTTTTAGGTCCTTGCCTTTTGTGGCGGGTTTTGGGTTCTGAAGATCTCAGGAATGTTGAGACTAAGCTGGTTGTTTGAGTCACCTGGCCTCATTGCATCCAGTTTTACTAATTCTTGCAGTGGTGAAAGTGGCCAGTGTAATTAACAGTCCCATATTGTTGCTGGAGCGATGAGTTTAAGCAGAGAATGTGCCACAGCCATTTAAGCAGCCATGGCCTCGGAAGTTGACTTTTTGTTTGTCAAAGCTAGTACATTAACTAGAAGCATAGAAGGAATGGAACTTTAGGTTACAGTTCATATACAAAAAATTAATGGGTTAGATTTAACCCTTTCGCTGCCAAGCCCTCGAACATTTTTCAAATCAGCTGGCCAAGCCATTTTTGAATTTTCTGCAATTTTTTCCTATTGATTTGATTTTCAACTGCTGCGTTGCTTGCATTTGTAAAAGACCCCCCAAACCATATATTTTCTGAAAGCGCAGGCCCGGTAGAATAAAAAGATGGTGATACTAAATTTGTAGGCCCTGCGATAATTGCGCAAATGTTTCTCAAATTAATATTAAACCGATAAAAATAAGGCAGCAGTGGTGCCGGGGGGGGCGCCCGGTATTTTTTAAAATAGCGGTCATCAGCGGCTTGTGAGCCGCTGATGACAGCTATTAATTTAAAGGGGACAGTCTGCTGAACAGTTCTACTATAAGCTGATGGTCGCTAAAGCGGCCATCAGCTTATAGTAGAACTGTAAATGCCAGGTCCGTACGGCATACTGAGCTGGCCAGCTGGAAGCACTTTTGTAGCTCCGTATGCCGTACGTCCTTGGCAGCGAAAAAGTTAAATGACATAATTGTTGGAATTTTCTGCTCAAGAAAGCTACTAGATCCAGTTATTTTGATCAATGCAGTCAGTTGTTACAAAACTTGCTCCAACATGTGGATGATCTGTTTTAGTTGTTTTTTTTGTTAGACTAAGGCTTATCAGCTTGGGAAAAATGTATTTCTTGCCCAAGCGGGACAACTATAACAGAAGAAACCGTAAATATTGCTAGTAGTCACCCTCCACTGAACTTGTTCTGTAATTTGGAAGAGGTTGTGCTGCTTATGCAGAGCAGCTTTTTTAGTTTGCAGCCAGGCATTCCCGAATGCTTTTAATCTAAGGGCTTTTACTGAGGGCCATGCTGGACAGGGCAAAGTCCCTGGACTAAGAAACTGTATTGGGGAACACGTGGATCAGTTTTCTTGTGCCCTGTTTTTCTATCCAGTTGCTTGTTTGACCAAGTATGCCCATCTTTAACCGTTTCTAATCTAAATGGGTAAAACCATTTCAATTGCTTGTACTGCTAGAGAAGAAGTACATTAGAAAAGGAATAGAGGGAATATTCAATAGGGGATGTGTGTTCTGGTTACAACTGTCTAAGATGGATTTCCCTTATTTTAGACAGATTTGCAGATGCTGTAAACAGGTGCCACGGGGTTTACAGGATGTCTGATGAGGACCCCAGCAAGCGCGGGACCTTCGGTTTAAAAATTTAAAGCGGTGGTATCGGTGTTCAGTATCGGGGCATTTTCACGAGTGCTCGTGGAAATGCCCAGTATCTGCACCGATACCTGTATTGCTGCATTCCTAACTATAACAGATGAATACTTCCATAACAGATGAATACTTCCATAACAGATGAATACTTCCAAGGGGGTGAATACTCTCTTAATAGAACTGTAGAACATTTTTAATACAATTTATTACAATGGCTTCATATTGTCTTTCCCAGGGTGAAGATGTTCAAATTCTGGGACAGATTGAAATATGTTTCACAAAAGATTTCAATCTGCAAAACTGTACAGTGGAACCAGAAGATGAGCTTTTACTGACCAAAAAGACGAACATGAAGTGGAGAGTATCTTATGAAGAGTTACATGTTTGTGATAAGTTATTAAACACTTATTACCCACCTGTACAGTAATTGTAGTTTTGCACATGGAAGGATCCACTTGAAATTCTTTATTAATTTTGGTAAAATGCAATGGGTTTAATTTTGACATGGATAATAAGTCATAGTTTAAATTAAGAGTAATTATATTTGGAAAAGCAAAATAATAATAATAATAATAATACATGGGAAGTAATCATATCAAATGGATCATGGGGGCTTCACTAAAGAAGGTGTTAGATATTTGCTCTGTTGCTGTCATTATTGTCATTCTTTGTTGCTGTGTTGGTCAACCTGCTGTATTGTAATATTATCAGAAATAAAGCTCTTCATCACTCTATAGTATAGATCCTAAATACAATGTCAGTCTTGTTTAATTTTCTGCTTTTGTGTAGCATTTTTTATATTTTGCATATTAGTAAGCAATACATGTAATTTGAAAAGTATGCCATTACATTGAGAATGGGTCCATGTAACCTTCTCATTTACATCCATATTAAACCTTCTATATATCTGGAGTAGTGCAGATATGAAGAGTTAGTAATTAGGGTACAGACAGGTAGTATTGTTTTCTTAATCGTTTCTTTAAGGGACACAGGATATTCAGAGAAAACTGGGTTATATTTTTACAAGAGAATCTGACAAGTTTCAGTCGTGATAACCCCTTCCACACCCAGAGTGCCTGAGTCTTTTGGAGAGGGTGCTGTGACACTGTGTGATGGTTTCTCCACCCCATTTCTGAGCCTGGACTCCCTGTATGTGTGCAGCTACATTTTTCTTTCAGGTGCACTTCCTCTGACTCCTTACTGTTACCTGACAAGGATTTCTTGCTGCCTCCAGTGGTATTGTAACACTCGCCCAGGTACCTCTCCTTCTTATGGGGGTATGTCAGATCCCTGGGCCTCTTCCAACATTTGTTCCTTCATGTGACACTAAGCTGAGGAGCTAAATCTTAAAAATGCATTCAAGTATCCTAACTATTAACAGAAATGTAGCTTATTTGTGTATTCCTCGGCTGTAGATCCTCAAATCTTCTCTGAATTGGTGCTGACACTGTCCCTCCTTGAGGAGGGTGGCTACTTTTGAGTGGCCTGTGCATGAGTGTCACCAGGGTTCCCTTAAAACCTTTGCAGTACATTGTTTACTGCAACAGGTTTTCTATGGGGACAGGCCATATCCAGATAAATGGTTTCCCCCTCCTAAACGTTTTACACAATACCCTATGAAGGACGCACTTGCTAAGAAATGATCTGTTCCCATTGTGAAACCTGCCATTTCTTGTCTTAACAAAAGCTTGACTGTCCCTTTAGAAGACATCCCAGTATTCAGGGATCTTCTAGACAAATGACTGGAAGCTCTTTTAAGTCTCTCAATGCCCTGGTAGGCCATGCTGTTCAACCAACTATTATGTTATGACTATATGCCAAATACTGAAAGTTTGGACCAAGGATTTGATGCAAGCTCCTAAGTCAATACTTTTTGACCCTTCGCTCCTGCAGCTGGAACTCTTGCTCACTGCCCTTCATTTTTGTGTGGGTGAGCTGATGGACATTACCCGCCTCATTTCTAGAATAAGACTCCTGACCACTCACATGCCACTGGCTAAAATGCTTGTTTGTATAACAACAAAGTAAAAAATGCCTGCTGTGCATGTCTTTTAAAGAAGAACATACCTTTGCAGTGGGGCTACCCTGCACTACAAGGTTTAAGTGCTTATTTTGTCTACTGGGATCGAATAAAGCCTTGCAGGGTACCCCCACACGTTTTTTTTTACATTTCCAGAGCCTGTTCCGAGTCTACCATGACAATTTTAGTAAGGTAGTCACTGTAGGGAAGAGTACCTCTCTTCCTCAGAAAAAGAGGCAAAGACAAAAAGTCCAACCCATGGAAAGTGCTTTTCTTCCTAAAACAAAAGTTTATTTTGCCCTCCCCCCTTCCCAAGCTTCCAAGGCCAGCTCTGAAACCCAGTTCCATTGTGAGCACTGGGCACCTGAGTCTTTCAAGTCTACTAGTAAGTCCTCCTCTGCAAGTGGGAGGACGTCTGGCCCCAACATAACTCAAGAACTCGGTGAGTGACGGGGTGTCCAGGGACTTTAAACTAGAATTTCAATATTTGCCTTTCTCCGCTTCATGGCGTTAAATCTGCTTTCGGCACAAGTTTTCTCTCGGAGTTTGGGTTTTCAGCCCTGTGCAGGACTGGGAAAGGTTTTTACTCAAATCTGTTCACCATCCCCAAGGCGAAGAGGCTCATATGCCTCATTCTGATCTGAAAGCGCTTAATGTCTTAATTTGCATATTTTTTTATGGAATCCACCAGGTGAGTCATTACCTCCCTTCAGCTTGGAGACTTTCTGGCCTCTATAGACATAAAGATTACCTACCTACACACCCCCATTTTACTAGCCCACCACCCCCATTTTACTAGCCCACCAGTGTTATCTGTGTTTTGCTGTGGACATTACAAATTTGTTACCTTTCCCTTCGGATTGTCCACTGCACCCTGCATATTTACCAAGGTGTTAGCACCACCTCTAGTTCAGGGCACAGTTGGCTCAGTCCCTATCGTACAATGCCCAAAGGACTGTTCAGACTCTTTGATGATTTGGCTGGAACCAACCCATTGACTGGAGTATCTCCCCTCCTAGAATTATCTTCTCTATCTGGACAATCTTCTTACTCTCCACACCCATGTTTGGACCCTACAGTCGAGGAGCTGTCCGTCTCTCGCTTCTGCATGACAGCCCTGGGCCTTGTGGTAGCCTTCTTAGAGGCAGTGTCATATGCCCAATTTTACTCCAGACCATTGCAGCTCAACATTCTGGTGGCATGGGACAAGAAAGTGCAGTCTCTGGACAGGCCTGTACACTTGTCACCCAAGGCCACCCTGGTGGCTTATAAACCCTGCATCTGTGAAGGCCTTCAGTCTGTTGGTCTGTAAGATCCCCACAACAGATGCCACACTGCCAAGCTGGGGAGGAGTCCTGGATTTCCTGTCAGGCAGAAGACTTGACCACTGGCAGAAACTCTCTTTCCGATAAACATACTGGAGCTCTGAGTGGTCAGTTTTTTTCCTTCATTGCTGGACCCCTCAGATATGGGATCATCTGATTCAAATCCAGTTGGACAATACCTCATATGTGGCATACACCAGCCATCAGGGAAAAACCACAACCCTCACAGCACAATAAGATGTGGATCAGATTCTGCTTTGGACTTAACTCCACGTTCCCAACTTGTCTGTAGTACATATTCCTGGCATGGAAAATTGGCAGGTGGACCTTTTTAGCCAACACTGCCTGGACTCCGAACAATGATCTCTTTATCTTTATATGTTTTTCATGACCTCCGCTGCAGGTAGGTCATGGTAGGTCTCGTCACCCATGTTTAACACCAAATTAAGCCAGTTTCAAGTCTCTAGGTACATTGGTCCTCTGGCGGTAGCAGCAGATGCCCTGTGGCTCCGTGGGATTAGTTCAGCCTGATTTATGCCTTCCCTTCTCTCAAGGTTTCTCTTTGTCTGTTTCACAGGATGGAGTTGGAGGGCATTCCGGTGATCCTCATTGTATGTTATTGGCCCCGACTGACATGGTATAGGGAGACTCCTGGCGGACTCTCCGTGAACTCTCCCAGCCGGTCCCACACTTGTCCGTAGGCTAGGGCCTAGCTTGACTTAATTATCCCTATACTTCTAAAAGCTAGTAAAGCCGCCTTTTGCAAGGGGTACCTTTTGCATGTAGACTGCTTATTTCACCTGCTGTACTCCGTGGGATGTATCCTGTCTGATTCAAGACAGGTGGGTTATGCATGACTGCATTTAGCCAGTTCTGCTTAGTAAGCCATTGCTACTTAGACAGCAGATAGTCTGTGGTGGAACTGACTGATGGCCCTAGCCAGAGGCCAAGACAACCAGTCCAACAGGAGGCTGGGCCTGGAGGAGCTGGAGCAGCAAATAGCCAAGGCATGAGAACCTGTTGCTGGTGTGTGATCCTGAACAATACTTGTAAGGGTAGAACCCTGTGCTATCATTCTTCATTTTAAATTAAAGTGGGCGGCAACCCTTAAAATACACTTTGGTGAGTGACCTGAGTGTGTAAAGGCTCTCCATTTAAAACTAACAAGGGTAGTTTATCTAAAGGGATCCCCTGTAGGGATTGACAGAATAATCTGAGGGGTTTTGGCTACAAGGAGAAGCACACATGCTAAAGAATGTGGTTCTACTGTTTCAAGGTCTCCACAGAAGATGTAAACAATAACAAATTATTTGCAATTGTTTCAATCAGGCTGACTGCAGTGAAGAAACTTTTATATGCGGGGCTTGCATACAATTGAAAATAATATTACTATGACTATTGCTGCAAAAACTTGGGCATTTGGCTTTGATCATGAAGAACAACCTCACCCTTGGTGAAACTGATCTCAACTACAGCCCCTTACCCCATGAATTCAGGAAAGCCTAGTTTTATACTTTCCTTCAGCCACAATCCAGCCTGTGCATGTGCTTCTCAGCCCCATTAATTTCTATAGTTGAACCATATTCTGAGTGGCTGCTGGAGGTTGCTATGAGTACTGCTACACATAGGTATTAATGGGTCCAAGGACAGCATTATATGTGGCAATTCGGAGATAGGCTTTCTGTGTGTCAACTTCCATCTTAATAATATTCAGAAACTAATGTGCTCCTTTCTCTGCTTTTGTAATTACTAAGTGTTGTAGTAAGGGGTCAAATTATCCTGTGCTTGCAGCCCACTGGAGAGCTGAACTTATACTCTCACATATAATAGTGCCCTGGTTACCTAAACGTCTGACACACCACTTGCATAATTCTCTTATAAACAGTGCTCCTCAGAGTACATGAGCACTGCTCACAAACACTGTACAGCAAGTGTGCCAGACAGCCAGAAACCCAGACCCGCCGTGGTGTGTGATAGCTGACCTGATCACATGATCAGAACCAAACGGATTGGATCCTGATCATCATTGGAGACCCAAGCTGTCAGTGATAGCTGGGATTCACTGGGCTGCACTAACAGGGTTATTCACTAATAAGTGAAGAGTTTGGAGAAGGCAGAAGAAGTGAACAATCTAGAAAAACATAGCTGAATGGCAAATTGAGCTGCATTGGAGACTTTTTCCAAATCAGTATATGGT